TGTGGTGCGCGATGGTGTGGCGCATGAAGGCCCGGGGCAGCCTCCAGATGGCGGTGTTCACCTTGATAGCGGTGAGCGTGTACGCCCGCCCCAGCAGCCTCCTGCTCCTGAAGCCGGCCTACCTGGCGCCGCCGGCTGTGGGCGTGTGCGAGTTCTGGACCTTGAGGCTCTTCCCGGAGGATGAGGACTTGCGGGACAAGACGGGCCTGGGCGACGCGTCGCTGGAGTTAGATTCGCCCTGGATTCGCTTCTTGGACCCCGTGCTGCGCCAGCTGAAAAAGGAGGGACACCCCGAATGCCTGTGGAACTTCATGCACCCCGAGTACTGGCAGATGCTCAGCCTGCGCCTGCAGGGGCTGCAGGTGAAGGCCAAGGTGGTGCCGCATCAGATGCGCCACTCGGGGGCCTCACTGGACATGGCGAGGAGGTGGCGGCGGTTGGCCGACGGGCAGAAGCGCGGCCAGTGGAAGACCACCCGCAGCGTCGCCCTCTACGAGAAGCATGCCCGGCTGGCGGCCACACGGGCGACGCTGAGCAGCGCCCCGCAAAGCGTGTTCCTGGTCTGCGAGGCTCAGCTCGCGGACATCATTTTGGGTCGCGCCTCGCCGGTCGACTTGCGGGAGCTCGGCCCCGCCTGACCGGCCGCTACCTGGCGGACTGCTTCAGCGGCAAGGGGGGCGTCGGGCGCGCCGCGATGGCGATGGGAGTGCCGGCCAGGTTCTGGGACACGCTGCACGGGCCAGGCGGCGACCTCACCACGCGTTCAGTCTTGAGAGGCCTGTGCTCGGACATCGCTGCGAGCCGCGTCTCGGCCGTAATGCTTGCCCCGCCGCGCGGGCCCTGGACCGCCGCGGCCGACCGAGTGGGTGCCATCCGTTCCGCCTCGCAGCCTTGGGGGCCCCCACGGCATCTTCTGAGTGAAAAGCAGCTGGCCCGCCTGGCGTCTGGGAACAAGACCATGCGGGCCGCGTTGGCCATCATCAGATGTTGTGAAAAGTTTAGGGTCCCTTGTATACTCGAGCACCCTGTGAATTCACGCGTGTTTTTCACGAGAGAGGTTCAGGGGGTTATAGATCGGGGGCCATTGTGAGATGTCTCGACCAGTGTCAAGAGGGGGCCCGTTGGCGGAAGCGAACCAGATTCCTGCGTCTCAACGTTGATGTTCTGGACAGCAGTTGTCTCGACCGTAGGTGTTGTCAGATTAACGGAATTTGCTCTAAGTCTGGCCGTCATCACATCGTGCTTGAGGGCAACGCCCCGAATGGTGCGAAATGGACGGCTATCGCCGTTGCTTATCCGCCAGCCCTCAATAGGAAGCTAGCCAAAGTCCTCTTGAGCGATTGGCGCGCGTCTTTATATAATCGCCCTTGCCCGCCCACCCAGTAAACATTCTTGGGAACGGCTTGGGTTGATGGTGCCTCACTGCTGAGCGCCTGGGCGCGCAGCCGATCGTTCATCCGTGTCCCCGCCTTGAAAAGATCTCGGGACGTCCTGGTTTGTGCTTGCACGTGAAGGAAGTCAAGAGGGGGTTTTCCATCTGTCGCCCCTTTGGCTCCGCTCTTTCTTGCATCACATAGCTTCTCTGGTCCCCCGCCCCCCGAACCCTCTCGAGCATGCGTGTGCACAGCTCTGCACTTATTTTGTCTCAGTTTTCTTTCTATGGTTGGTGGTGCCTCACTGCTGAGCGCCTGGACGCGCAGCCGATCGTTCATCCGTGTCCCCGCCTTGAAAAGATCTCGGGACGTCCAAATCTTTCAAAAACCCAATCGAAATCAACGATGTTGGCCTCTGCGGGCCTTCCTGGAGGCCCTCTTGGAGGCCTCTTGGGCCGTCTTGGAGGCCTCTTGAGGGCCTCTTGGGCCGTCTTGGGCCATCCTGAGGCTATCTTAGGCCGTCTTGGGTGCCTCTTGGACCGTCTTGGAGGCATCTTGGGGCCATCTTAGCCGTCTCGGAGGGCACTTTGGCAGTCTTGGCATCCTGGAGGCCATCTTGGGCCATCTTGGAGCCGTCTGGAACGGAAAAACCATGTGCAACCACCTCTGGAAGATCTTTCGGCATCCTCTCGGGACCCCGGCGGGACGCGCCGGAGCCCTTTGGGAGAGTTCTTTTCGAAAAGAACCAAAACCAAAACCGTAAGAAGCTCAGCACGCCAGGCACCCCTGTGATGAATCACCAGGGGGCGGCGGATCGAAGACGCCTACGGCGAATCACCGCCGCCCCCTGCCTTTTTGGAAGCGCCTATATGGCCGAACGTTGAGGCCAGACCTGCCAAGCTATCGGACCACGTGTTCCCCGAATCGGTTTGGAAAGCCTTCGGGGAACAAGTGGGCATCTTGAAGGTCATCTTAGCCGTCTGGAAGCCATTTTGACCCTTTCGGGCCTTCTGGGAGGACGTCTTGGAGGGCTCTTGGACCGTCTTGTAGGCCATCTTGAGCGTCTTGGAGGCCTCTGGGGCCGTCTTTGGGGCCTCTTGGGGCCGTATCTGGGGGGCACTTGGGCCGTCTCGGGCCGTCGGAAGGCAGAAAAAACGCAAACGCCACAATCCTTCAAAAACCTTCCTGGGAAATCAATGATTTTGGCCTTTTCGGGCCTTCCTGGAGGCCCTCTTGGAGGCCTCTTGGGCCGTCTTGGGCCATCTTAGGGCCGTGTTCGGCCGTCTTGGTGGGCTCCTGGTCCGTCTGACGCTGTCGGAAGCCGTTCGGGGGGCCTTTCTGGGCCGACTCGGGGCCCTCTTGGAATGCTCCAGGGCATCCTGTGCCGTCTTGGGGGCCTCTTGGGGCCGTCTTGGGGCCCTCTCGGGCCGTTCTGGGGCAATCTTGGAGGCCTCTTGGGCGATCTTTCGGCGATCTTTGAGGGCTCTTGGGCCGTCTCGGGCCGTCGGAAGGCCGAAAAGAAGGAAATGTCAAAATCCGTCAAAAACCATAGGGCAATCAATGTTTTTGGCCTCTTCTGGCCTTCCTGGAGGCCCTCTTGGGGGCCACTTGGGCCGTCTTGGGCCAGCTTCGAGCCAACTTCGGCCATCTTGGTGGGTTCCTGGCACATCTGACGCCGTCGGGAGCCGTCTTGGGGGCCTTTCTGGGCCGACTGGGGGCCCTCTTGGGGTGCTTCGGGGCTGTCTTGGAGGCCATCTTGGGCGTCTTGGAGGCCATCTTGGGCGTGTTGGAGGCCTCTTGGGCCGTCTTGGGGCCGTCTTGGAGGCCACTTGGGCCTCCTGGGCGATCTTGGGGGCCTCTTGGGCGGTCTTGGGCCGTCGGAATGCCGAGAAGAGGCAAATACCACAATCCTTCAAAAACCTAAGGATAATCAATGATTTTGGTCTCCTCTTGGAGGCCTCTTGGGCCATCTTGGAGGCCTCTTGGGAGCCTCTTGGGCCGTTTTGGGCCATCTTGAGGCCATCTTAGGCCGTCTTGGGTGCATCTTGTGTCATCTTGGAGGCATCTTGGGGCCATCTTAGCCGTCTTGGAGGGCATCTTGGCCATCTTGGAGGCCATCTAAGGCCATCTTGGAGCCGTCTGGAACGGAAAAACCCTTTGCAACCACCTCTGGAAGATCTTTCGGCATCCTTCCGGGTGGCCGGCGGGACGGGCCGAAGCCCCTGGGGGAGTTCTTTTGGAAAAAGAACCAAAACCAAACCCGGGAGGGTTCAGCACGCCAGGCGGAGGCATCTTCGGGTCTCTTCGAAGCGCTCTCGGGGGCCTTTTGAGAGCAGTTTGGGGGCCTCTTGGGGGCCCCTCGGGGCCGAGGGCTCGAAATGTCCGTGCGGGTTCCCCATCTGGGCCTTTTTGAGGGCCGTCACTGGGTACTCTTAGGCCTTCTTGGGGGCCTCTCGGGTCGTCTTGGGGCCCTCATGGGCCGTCTTGGGGCCCTCTTGGGGGCTTCTGGGGCCGTCTTGGGGCGATCTGTGGGGCCCCGTGGGCCGTCTTGAGGCGTCGGGAAGCTGGAAAAACGAGAACATCAAAATCGCTGTAAAAAACCTTTGGAACAACAATAATGTTGGCGCCTGGGGGCCCTCTTGGGAGGCCTCCTGGAGGCCTCTTCGGGCGTCCTGTATGCCTCTTGTCGTCAGGAGGGCCATCTTGAGCGTCTTGGCTTTCGGCGACTCTGGTCCCTCGCGGATTGTCCCGGGGGCCTCTCGGAGCAAACTTGGCCCGTCTCGGGGTCCTCTTGGCCCGAAAAAGTCACGCGACAAGCCCCGAGGAGACATGACAAGCCCCGAGAGATTTGAGAATTAGGGATCCGGGTCCCTAAAATATTCTTCTGGGGTGACGCTGAGAGGATTGGACAAAGGACCTGAGGACACGTCCACTCCGAGCCCAGCGGCACGGTAGCGGACCTTGGACAAGAGTCCATGACTCTAGCGGCGGTGCGATGTGACGAGAGCGGCACAATATTCTTCGACTTCTAGGCGGCCTTGCCCAGCGTGGACCACAGCTTCCTTCCGAACTACTTCCAGCAAGGCGGCTCATCAAATTCGTGAGGTTATTCTGGAGTTCTTGCTGCGCACAAATTGGGGGAGATAGGTTCGAAAGATTCGAGCTGACCGCTGGCATTCGACAGGGATGCCCCCTCTCTCCGCTACTCTTCGCATTGGCCGCGGACTTGCTCCTAGAGCGCCTGCGCCGTCGACCCCGGAACGCCACTACTCGAGCCCACGCGGACGATCTGGCCGGGGCCCTCGCCAACCTCAGCTCACACAGTGGAATGTTGGAACCCATCTTTGAGGAATACGAGCTCATCTCAGGCCTTCGCCTCTACCACGGCAAGTCGGTGGTCGCCCCGCTCTTCTGCCCCACAGTCGACGCGGCGAGGGATAGATTGCGCGCGCGAGGCAGCTCCTGGTCTGATTTTCCCTGCCCATTCCATGCCAAGTACCTTGGCGTATACCACGGGCCTGAACGAGATGAGGCTTCACGGGCCAAGCCGCCGTTCAAGTTCGAGGCGTGTGCCAAGTTCTGGAAAGACATGGGGGAGGAACATGTGTGAGCATCTTCGCATACAACATGTATTTGTTCTCCGTGCTCACGTTTGTGGCTCAGCTCGAACCTCCACTGGCCGCGTGGGAAGCAGCAGAACAGGCGGCGTGTCGGGCGCTTTTTCGTGGCACAACCAGGCTCCTGGGCAACGTCAAGCACTTCGGCCTCCCCGCGGAGCTTCCCGACCTTCACTGCGCCGCACAAGCCGTGAAATGCAGGGTCCACAACTATCAGTGCCGCAAGACAGATGGGCTCAAGGTCGCGGAGCGCGCCCGCCACCTCGACAGGGCCGTCGCGAGCTGCGACATCCTTGGCCGGAGGGCGCGGCGGAGAAGTCGGTTCCAGAATTCGCCCCTCCGCAATTTGCATCGGGCCCACGACAAGCTCTGGAGATCACCGCCGCATTCCAAGACCCTCGACGGCATGGCAAAGCACGGGATCAGGGCCAGATGGCAGCACATCTGCCACGACTGCCTACGTCCTCCCTCCGCCGACGACGCTCTCCGGCATGTGCGGCGGCGCCTGGACAGGTGGCAGGCGTAGACCCCGCCAGGCCGCCGGCGAGTGGACCGCGCTGTCCTGCTCCTCCACGGTTCAAGAACTTCGTGCTCCCCCCAATGTAGGCGGCCACGCTCAGGATCTTGTGTTTCGACCTCTGACGCCGAGCTGTATGGACTGCGGGAGGGCGCGCGCGGCCACCCGAGGGCATTGGAGCTCCTGTCATGACGCTGCATGTCTGCACGACCCACTTAGCTCTGTGGAGCCTCGCTGGCCGTCGATTAGCGAACCAATGTGCCGTGCAGCTGGCTTGGGGTATTTTTTGCCCGCCCGTCTCGCCTCTGTTCTCCCTCTCCTCCGCACCAGCTTCCGGCCACTTGGCCGCGGCCCAATGTCGGCTGGATCCATCAGTGGACCTCCGCTCGCGTGGGAAATTTGCGCGCGTGCCCTATACTATGTTCTGGCTGGTCCACGCACTCGCGAGCTGTGTTGTGTGCCTCATCCCTCCTTCTCGCCCCATACCATTCCTCCTCCTCCTCCTCCTCCTCCTCCTCCTCCTCCTCCTCCTCCTCCTCCTCTTGCTCATGCCGTGGTGAATGTCGAGGACGTTCAACGCGGGTCTCTCGCACGATCGTTTGGCAGGTCAGGGGATGATGCGTTTCAAGGTTTCTTCGTATCCTTCGCCACATGCTTTCTATGTCGGACGTTTTGCAGCCGTCAGTCTGCTCGCGTTCGACGTTCGCTATCTCGGCGCATTCGCCTAAGCGTTGGCGTGGTTTTTCCCGCACGCTTGGTGAGGAACGGTTTTCAAACGCGTTTCCTCGTTCGTGCCGTTCGTCGTTGGCCTCAACCCGACGCCTTTTAACCCAGCTTTCGGTGTGGGGCGGCATGCACTTTTTGGCGCCAGCTGTGGTAGCATGTTGCCCTGTCCCATCTGATCCTGCAAAGGAGTGGTGGATAGCGCAAGCGCAACGGAGTGGGGCGGCATCGATCATGACGCCAGCCTGTTGGAACCAGTGGCCGAAGTCAGCACATTTGGGACAGCACTTCCAAGGAACCGATGACGAATGCACATGGCGCTATCTGGCCGAGGCTTGCGCTCCACATTCGGCCCACCGCTTCCCATTGGGCCCCCCAGTAGGGCACACCCGTGATTGACCCACATCCAGTCTGCCGACACCACGAGATCAAGCCAGTACATGTCCACCGACGGGAATGCGGTCCAGGAGCGTCACCAGCGCAACAGCAATTATGATCATCCAAAGGAGCGTCGACCAGGAAGTCTAAAGAGGACGGTGGCAAGTTTTTGTTTTCCTCCTTCACTCAGCTCTCGAAAAACGAGTAAGAGTTGGCGGACCTATACAGCAACCGTCTCGGCGCGCCATGCTGCACGACCCGGTGGACCGCACGTGCCGATGCCGGCGCATGTGGAAAATGCCGCGGTATGTATGAAGACATCGAACGCATCGTGGGTAGTATTCATTGAAACCAAACGGCATATCGGTATGCGGCACCACGGGACGCGCGGACGGAAATTGAAAACCATGGGCTGGCCCTTGGAAACGGGTCCGCCTGCATGACCCCCGACAACGCTCCGACTTACAAGTCCTATGCAGTCGGCAAGGAGAAATCGGGCGGCTGCCAGCGCGCATCAGGGACATTGTGCGGCCTCGCCAGGGCTTGCAGCAGTTTGGATATGCTGACTGGTGGCATGAGACGAAATTGGATCACGAAAGCTTTCGGGGGCACGACGGCCTACGACTCTGGGACGGTGCCAGACATTGGACCCGCGTGCGTTTTGCTAGTGGCCCAGACCTCCATCCGTTGGCTACCGCTGGGGTTGGGGGCGCCCACGACTGGCAGTGATGACAACACAATCATTACGGGTTCGGGGGTAAGGCGAGGCCGTGGTTGTTGCCAGCTCCAGCGAGACAAATGGTGCGGTGTTAGTCTGACAGCACTCCCAAAGGCATAAGAGACTTTCTGGGACCCTGTAGGTGGTAGCGAACACTGGTCTTGCCTTGAACAGGCGTAAATTGTTCAGCGCAGCCCATTCCGTGCACTCACCGCCAGGTTGCCTTTCTAACGACATGTTGATTACAGCAGCTTCGCAGGCACCAGGTGAGTGATTTCCCGGAGGAGGGGGGCCATTTCGACATGCGCTACACGATCAGTCAAAGTCCTGGCCCTTCGTCCAGCAAGCCAGATGCCGAACACATCGCTCAAGCTAACGAGGACACCGTGCCATCTGCGAGCGTGCGACCGTCGGGGACTGGAAGACCTGGCCTTAGCAGCGTTTCGTCTTGTTCCAGGTTGTGCGATTAGTTGTGCGATCGCCGCGTTGCTGGCGCGCTGTTGATTACATTCGTTCACACACCCACTCAGGCGGTGTGGGCCGACCCGAAGCACAATGCCCCACAAACGAGCACGTGCAGCACATCCATGCAAGGAATACGCGCCAGGACACAGAATACAAACCTAGGTTGTGCGGTGCGCGCAGCCATGGCGTACCACAATGTACCGTGCGGGCATGCCTTCCTGCGTTGCACACTGGTGTTGTGGACCTCCCCTCCCCGTGTGCGAGGAGGGAGGAGGAGGGAGTTGGAGGAGGGAGGAGGACAGAGGAATTGGAAGAGGTGGAGGAAGGCGGAGGAGAACAGGCCCAGGAGAAGATGATGAGGGATGACGGGAGGAGGGAATCCCATCAACGTTCCGCAATGTGTTCGGATCTTGTCCACGATAGTTCCAGCACTGCATCTCATCCGGCTCTGCTCGCCACTCACATGTGATCCGCCCACCCCTTGCTGATCGCCGAAGTGTGTGCTGGAAACGCTCGCTCGTTTGGCAGGAGTGGTCATGCTCCAGATCGAAGGTTTTATGGGTTGTTTTGGTGCGCTTGCGTAGTTTGATGTTGTTGTGAGGGTACTGTTAGTTGCTTCTCTCTCTCTCTCTCCCTCCCTCGCTCACCTCCGCGAAGGATGGCGGCTTTATTATGGTGCCCTTCAAGACTGTGTGGCACGCGCTCCTGCTCAGCGCCAGCTGCCCAGGAGGGGATGGAGTGCAGAGCCAGTGGGGGAGCAGGAGGAAGAGGAGGAGGAGGAGGAGGAGGGTACCTACCAGCAATACGTAATGTGGGTGGTGACCCGCCCATGTTGCGGCTCCGTGGACAGGTCGCCATCCTTATCATATCGAGGGGGCTGCACTTCTGCGCTGCAGTGTTTAGAGCTCGCGAGAAGCCTCCAAGGCAAGATTCGTACGACACGACTGACTACGACGGCTTCCTCGATTGCGTGGAGGATTGGCTGGAGGCGAGCTGGTGAGAGTAATGGTGCTACTGATGCTGGTGATCGCCCCAGGGGCCACATGAACGACACCGGGAATAATGCCAAGATAAGATGCATGATTGGAGGCCGTTTGGCGACGATGTGTGTGACAGCGGTTGCGACCAGATCATATTCAGCCTCCCGCCAGCAGTTGGCATAGCATCGCTGGGATCTTCTTCATTGACGATGGTTTGCAATATCTTAGGACGGGGGTGTTCTTCCTCGTGTGTCGGTTCCGCCCCTTTCTCTTTCCCGCTTCATTCCCCCTTCAAATAGGAAAGTCAGCAAGCATATTCATTGATATTCATTTTCATTCGTTATTAGACTCGTACACCCAGGCAGTCCACATTGAGACATCTTCACAACCAGACTCGTTCAAACCCAGACTCACTCACCCTCCGACTCACTCACATGCAGACTCGCTCATGACTCACGCTCAGATGATTCACAATCAGGCTCGCTCATACTCAGACTCCTTTCACACTCAGACCCAACCGCATTCAATTTCACTCACACTCAAATCTTTCATACTCAGACTCGCCCATGATCACCGCGATGTAGCAGGCGTGGCACCCAGGCACCCCAATTGGGATGTCTCGAGCGGTTCGCTTGTTAGGCGTCGTCGACCCCCTGCCTGTTGGGAGCCTCATGATCACCGCGATGTAGCAGTCTTGGCTGTAGGAGTCGCGGGACCCTCGCTGCGGTGAGTCTTTGGGCGACCGTCGGCCGCAGCTTTTCGGCGAGCTGGCCATGGACGCCAAATTCTCGTCGTCTTGCCGGATGGCCCCAGCGGCGGCGAAAATGCGGCGCCGGCATTTGTGCCGCACGCCTGTTCTTTCTTCATCCCTCCCCGTATCCTCCCCCCTCCCCCTTCCTCAATTGGGTGAATGCCCACGGCACCAGCCGTGCGTCCCAGGCTCAACACAGCGGGGTTCGCGCATCGAGCAAAAGCAGCAGTATCGTCATCACCAGTAGCATCATCATCATCACCCTCTTCTCCCCCTCATCACACTGTTGTTTATCCTCACTCTTACTCCATTCTATCATACCTCTCCGCCTCGTCCTCAGGTTCCATTCTCCTCATCAATCCCTCCGCCCTCTTCTCTCATCTTCCGCCCTCGAGAGCGGAAGCGGGGACAGCCAGGAAGGAAGTGAGGGCGCATAGATTGACCGGCAGTTATCTTGGAGGGCAGGCGTTTTTGCCAGCAACAAGAAGAACATTGCGGAAGCGGAGTCCACAGGTCCGCGCCGCGTCTCAGACGTTTCGGACAGACAGAGACACATCGACGAGATTCGTTACCATTGATGCTCGAGAGTTCCCCAGCTTCTCGGCTAGTTCAGGAATGGGGTAGTCCAGCAGCAGTCGTTGGCTGGGCCTGTTTTTGACTGGCGGGCTTGCGATGTCGGCTGGGTCGTCAAACGCGCCCCGAAAGTTTGAGGTACTCCCAGCGTGTATTCCGCGCGTCCTGTGCTGCGTGTTGGGAGGAGGAGGATTTAGCATTCAGCATTCAGCATGTGGCGAGTCCCGCACGCGCGGGACAGGTCCCAAAAGAGAGAAGCGACGATGCCGACGATGACGACAACGAGGACGACGAGACGAGACGACGACAGGACGACGGATGGTGAAAGAAGCTGCGATTCGCCTGGATTCGCAGGCGTCGGCGCGGCAACAGCACAAATAGAGCAAGGACGACTGCGAGGTACCAACGCCATGTTAATAAACCCAGCGTCACACAAACTTCATCGTGGCTGGCACTGCCGCCACATTCGTTCACCGAGCCATCTGGCACATTAGTATGGGCATGTTCAGGTAAAGGATCAACATCTATAGAAGCCCCGTGCTCACTTCGACCCTCAAAAAATCTGCAGGCAAGGGATAGTTTCACCCCCAGATCTTGATCAGCACGGGGGCTTCGGTCATTCATCAGACGTGCAACATGCGGGCATACTTGCTACAAGTTGTTGAGGTTGACCGTGCTCAAACGTCTTGTGCGCGCATGCGCTGAGCACGTGGCCATAGCCCTCAGGGGCTTCACATTCAACCTGCGAGAGAACGAATGCATCGTTCCGGGAGACCCAACGCGCTACACGCCTACACTTCATAGCGTTAGTGTCCCAGGCCACTTGTTGGTCAATCACCCGAGGAGGGGGCCCAATCACCAGCCCAGGAGCAGGGAACCCCACGGGAGGAGGAGGAGAGAGGGACACGTCTCGAAGAACCTCAAGGCGCTAGACCCGACATAGACCATTACCTGAGCAAGGATATTGCAACTACTGTGCGACGGTGGATGCACGCCAGGGTATCGTCATCAACAACATGAAGGGCGGTTCCACGCTTAGGGTACATAGCTGCCACCGCATTTGCATGAATATGCCAGGTTGTGTCCCCCTTCAGCTTCTGATATATGGGTTGTTTTGTGTCGGTGACCATATTCGTAGCCGATGCCCCTGGACTTTCCATGGGCTGTCCAGAGGTCGGTATGTGCAGACATACTCACACACGAAGCCCTCGGAGGGAGGGACCAGGCATCTACCGCCTACAACCAACTGGCAGCCAGAGCTGTTATGATAGCCTTGATCATCTCCAGGGGCATTCTACCTGAGATAAACCAACGAAGCCGAAGTCTCGGCGCCCGGATCTCACTGCACATAATTCGGGTAGACTCCATAGCTTATATGCCGGATGTCGGATGTCCCAGCCAGTATGCTGACGCCAGTGGAAGCCAGCATTCGATCTTTCGGGGTGAAGGCACGCGCAGTCCTGAACATTCTCCACCAAAGGCACGGTCCTGAACCCCCACGTTCGCCCACTCCAACCCCAGGTCAACGGAGGGAGGGGGAAAGGTACACTCTGGGTCAGAGACAAGGGCAGAGAACCAGACGGGGTCATGCGGGTGGACAATTTTCACCCGTCAAATGCGTTCTGGAAGAATGGATACGTAATAGGACAACCCCAAGTCAGGTGATGGGTAGCTTCCCGAAGATGGTGAGATATGGATTGACAGAGCGGAAAAGGAAGCCGCAGGTGTAAACTTCCAGCCCAAACAATCCTCAAACCTTGAGAATGAGCACACGTCCAGCTAGACATTCCCCCTTGCAGGATAGCACGAACGGGGTTCAGAGGTGGAGCAGGAGGAGGAGGTGGAGGAGGAGGAGCATGATGAGGAAGAGCAGGTGGGAAGGAAAAGGAGGAGGATGTACACAACCAGAGTCGATCAAATATGCATCAATGATGAGACCCCAACGTCCCAAACCCACCCATGCAAGTCATTATAAGCAGTATGCTTATGTATGGTAAGTTCTTGTTTGGAAGACGAGCGACCCCAATGCCTGTCTAGGCGCGATCTCCTAATTTGGAATTGCCCCCCCCCCCTCCATCCGCTTAGCTATGCGAGATGCCGAAGGTCGGAGCCGAAAGCTCAAGGAAGTGTCCACCCAGAGCCCCATGTGGAAAATGAGCCGCCCCTCAAGCGCACACATGTTGTGAATATCGAAGACGCCTACGGCGAACCACCGCCGCCCCCTGCCTTTTTGGAAGCGCCTGCGTGGCCGAAAGTTGGGTTTGAGCTTGGCCAAGCTATCGGGCCACGCGTTCCCCGAGTGGGTTTCGAAAGCCTTCGGGGAACATGGAGTCGGGCGAGCTATCGGACCAGGTGGTTTCCGAGCTTTCGTGCCTTCCTGGAGGACGTCCTGGAGGGTTCTTGGGCCGTCGTGGAGGCCTCTTGCGGCCCTTGTGGGCAGTCCATAAGGCCATCTTGAGGCCATCTGGGGCCGTCGTGGGTGCATCTTGGGGCCACCTTCGCTGTCTTGGAGGCCGTCTTGGACGCATCTTGGAGGCCATCTTGGCCGTCTTGGAGGCAATCTTCGGCGTCTTCGGGGCCATCTTGGGCCGTCTTGGGCTCTTCTTGGCGCCCTCTGGAGGGCCTCTTGGGCTGTCATGGGGCCATCTTGGAGGCCTCTTGGGCGCTCTTGGGACGATGTTGGGGGCCTCGTGGACCGTCTTGGGCCGTCTGATAAGAAGAACATGCCAACACCCTTCAACAAACGAAGGAAATTCAATGATTTGTCCCAACCCTCCTTGGTTGGGTATTCGTTTTGAATAGAGGGGTGTGGACGCGTCCTCCTCCTCCCGCCTGCCGCCTCCTCCTGCCCTCTCTTCGCCGACGATGGGGGCTGCGATCTGCGAAACTGTCGCCACTTTCGAGGGCTGCTGGTGGGTCCAGCGGAGTGAGGCACCGCGCAGATCTGAGCAAGACCTCGCCGTGCCTGGGGGGCTGCGATCTGCGATACCGTCGCCACTTTCGAGGGCTGCTGGTGGGCCCAGCGGAGTGAGGCACCGCGCAGATCTGAGCTGGACCTCGCCGTGCCTGGGGGGCTGTGATCTGCGGAACTGTCGCCACGTTCGAGGGCTGCTGGTGGGTCCAGCGGAGTGAGGCACCGCGCAGATCTGAGCAAGACCTCGCTGTGCTTGGGGGGTGCGATCTGCGATACCGTCGCCACTTTCGAGGGCTGCTGGTGGGTCCAGCGGAGTGGGGCACCGCGCAGATCTGAGCAAGACCTCGCCGTGCTTGGGGGGCTGCGATCTGCGAAATTGTCGCCATTTTCGAGGGCTGCTGGTGGGTCCAGCGGAGTGAGGCACCGCGCAGATCTGAGCAAGACCTCGCCGTGCTTGGGGGGCTGCGATCTGCGATACCGTCGCCACTTTCGAGGGCTGCTGGTGGGTCCAGCGGAGTGAGGCACCGCGCAGATCTGAGCGGGACCTCGCCGTGCCTGGGGGGCTGCGATCTGCGATACCGTCGCCACTTTCGAGGGCTGTTGGTGGGTCCAGCGGAGTGAGGCACCGCGCAGATCTGAGCTGGACCTCGCCGTGCTTGGGGGGCTGCGATCTGCGAAGCTGTCGCCACTTTCGAGGGCTGCTGGTGGGTCCAGCGGAGTGAGGCACCGCGCAGATCTGAGCGGGACCTCGCCGTGCCCGGGGGGGCGCGATCTGCGATACCGTCGCCATTTTCGAGGGCTGCTGGTGGGTCCAGCGGAGTGAGGCACCGCGCAGATCTGAGCAAGACCCCGCCGTGTCTGGGGGGCTGCGATCCGCGAAACTGTCGACACTTTCGAGGGCTGCTGGTGGGTCCAGCGGAGTGAGGCACTGCGCAGATCTGAGCAAGACCTCGCCGTGCCTGGGGGGCTGCGATCTGCGATACCGTCGCCACTTTCGAGGGCTGCTGGTTGGTCCAGCGGAGTGAGGCACCGCGCAGATCTGAGCGGGACCTCGCCGTGCCTGGGGGGCTGCGATCTGCGATACCGTCGCCACTTTCGAGGGCTGCTGGTGGGTCCAGCGGAGTGAGGCACCGCGCAGATCTGAGCGGGACCTCGCCGTGCCTGGGGGGCTGCGATCTGCGATACCGTCGCCACTTCGAGGGCTGCTGGTGGGTCCAGCGGAGTGAGGCACCGCGCAGATCTGAGCGGGACCTCGCCGTGCCTGGGGGGCTGCGATCTGCGATACCGTCGCCACTTTCGAGGGCTGCTGGTGGGTCCAGCGGAGTGAGGCACCGCGCAGATCTGAGCAAGACCTCGCCGTGCCTGGGGGGCTGCGATCCGCGAAACTGTCGACACTTTCGAGGGCTGCTGGTGGGTCCAGCGGAGTGAGGCACCGCGCAGATCTGAGCAAGACCTCGCCGTGCCTGGGGGGCTGCGATCTGCGATACCGTCGCAATTTTCGAGGGCTGCTGGTGGGTCCAGCGGAGTGAGGCACCGCGCAGATCTGAGCCAGACCTCGCCGTGCTTGGGGGGCTGCGATCTGCGATACCGTCGCCACTTTCGAGGGCTGCTTGGGGGGCCAGCAAAGCGATCTGCGAAACCGTCGCCACGTTCGAGGGCTGCTGGCGGGTCCAGCGGAGTGAGGCACTGCGCAGATCTGAGCGGGACCTCGCCGCCCCTGGGGGGGCTGCGATCTGCGATACCGTCGCCACTTTCGAGGGCTGCTGGTGGGTCCAGCGGAGTGAGGCACCGCGCAGATCTGAGCGGGACATTGCCGTCCTTGAGGGACTGCGATCTGCGAAGTTGTCGCCACTTTCGAGGGCTGCTGGTGGGTCCTGCGGAGTGAGGCACCGCGCAGTCCTGCGGGGTTTGGCACCGCGGGGATGTGAGCGGGGCCTCGCCGTCCTTGGGGGCTGCGATCTGCGAGACCGTCGCAACTTTCGAAGGCTGGTGGCGGGTTCAGCGGAGCGAGGCACCAGGCAGATCG